AATAGAGAAGATGGGATGCTTACAGAAGATGTCACCTTTCTCACACTAGGTGAAATTCAGGATTTTTTAAAATATGGATTATTAGCTAAGATTTTATGCTATACTAATTGGTATAACATAAAAAAAAAAGTAGTTTAATAAAATTTTGAATGTAAGACACAAAAACCTTGTGTCATGCACAGTAAAGGATACCTGTGGCAATAGGGTTAAGAACTGAACTTCATTACTCAAGCAGTATTTTGATAAATGTACAGAAGTTTGACAAAGTGAAAAAAAAACACAATTAAAACTAAATTAGAAGAATAAGTCTTTCGTAAATGTATTACTGTTGAAAACATGTTCTATTTTCACTTCAAATTTTCTCACAAATATTCTTAGAATACTTGAAGTTTGATGTTAAATCCAATGGAAATCCCAACACACAAACTTGTTTGTTGTTTGTCCAATTTTTTGATATATGACTTTTGTTTGATGTAGTCAGGTTGCTTCAAAAAATGCCAAACTATTTACTACATCTTTTGTATTGTAAGACAATTCAGAACTTACACAGATAGTCAAGTGGCAAATACTAGCAATGAATTGATCTTACATAAAAATACCAAGTTTGCTACCAGAATACAAGATTCACCTTCTACCTTTTTTAACGAACAACACAAGTGAAAATAACTTGCAGCCAATAAAAGTTACATGCAATTACCATCTATTGCCTAATAGCTACTAGGTACAACATGCAACCCTATAATTTAATATGTTTACTATCTTCTTCCACAAAAGGAATTCATACAGTTGATTTGTTTTTTTAATTTATTTTAAGAGTTTAAAATCCTTTTGCTGGAAAAGAAGTACATTAAAACATGTGTGTGGCTCTCAGCCTCCAAGAAAAATTATAACAAGAGTCAACATAGATTTGAGTCCTACTTCCTTGCCAACTGGGAGAACACTAAGTTTATGGTTGATTCATCCATAAGAACTTACAAAAACTTTCTTCACAGCAAAACATTGTTCCCGACTTCTGACTGTTCTTGATGAGGTGTTGTTGTAAAGGGAACAGTGATGTCATCAAAATGGTGCAGAAAGTGTATCAATGGAGCATGTGCTTAAAATATTTTGCTACAATGCAGAATATGTTTCCCAAACAAAATTATTTTACTTTTGTTTATAATATCAATACTCATGTAGTCACTTACAAAACATTGGTTATCCCTGAAAATAAACCTCTGAGTATTTCTTAATCACCTTGCTCAGCATCAAACTTTTTTACCAAAAAAACCAATGAAAGCTAATAGATTTTCTGCCATATTGGAAATGCTAACTTCCTGTGCTGGTTCACTCGATTCATGTACTGGGAAAGAACACCCAGAATGATATTTGGACATGCAAACTGAGCATACCCTAAGTGTATTTCAATACCCGATGTTTATCAGTACCAAAACAATCATCCCACATAGTCTAAATAGTATCAACCATGTAAAATATGCCCCTTCCATTAAAAGTGGAGAAACATAATAATTAAATATGTACAATGCAAAGTATTAACATAACAAATTTGAAATTTCATACATTCAAAGTAATGCCAACACAAATTTAAAGGGTCTTAAGAGGCAGTGGCCCAAGAAATAGCAGTGTCTTACCTGAAATATTTCCATGATATTAAATCATTTGTTTTTTTTTTTCATCAGTGTTCTAATGTCAAAGGCTTTTTCAGTTTTTAAATATAAATAATTGTATGTTTGTTTTTATAATACACATCTCATGATGGTATTACACCTCTGTTTTATCTACTTGGCTATCAGTGGTTAACAAAAAATGTTTCAGTACATAGTAGAATTGAACAATTTCAGCCTTTAAAGACATCTGAGAGCAACTTATACTGAATAATAAAAACATTATGAAAGTTTTCCAATAAAAAAGGCTGGATGTGTATGAATAAACCTAACATATAAGAATTTCAACAACAGACTCATATAACACTGTAGTAACTGGCCAAATCTAAGTTTCCCATTGGTTTGTTAATTTGTTCAGCAAAGTTGTTCTTTATTAGCTCTTCCAAACAATCCAGATGAAATACCCGTCTCAAAATTTTTACTTTGTAAGCACATTTCAAATCTTCTAAAAAACTACAGTATTTAATCTTAGTTTATTAAAAATATTTCTCACCTGTATGGGTACGAACATGCTTCTGTAAATCCCCAGACGTTTTAAAAGCTTTATGACATTGTTCATCAGGACATTTATAAGGTGTTTCTCCTGTGTGAACTCTGGTATGGCTCTTTAAACCATAGCCAGTAGCAAAAGCCTTGTGACATCCTGGTGCATTGCATTTAAAAGGTCTGTACCCTGTATGGGAACGTTCATGTACCTGCAAAAACAGGTAAATAACAACTACTAAAAAAAACTTGACTAACATTCTCTAATTTTGTCAATATTTAGTTAAAGTCCAGTTCTTATTTTCTGAAACATATTTGCTATCCTGCTTCTTCTACCTTTCTCATTGATCCCTGATTAAATCACAGCACATACACACACACACACAAAAGTGTACAAACACACAAATCCATTTGCACTGAAAGAAAGGACAAAATTATGCCACAAGACAAGAGTTTATCACGAATTACTAAAAATAATTTATCTTATGTAACTTTATCCCTTTCTGGGCTAGCAGGGTGTAACTGATATCCCTTGAAACTTCATAACGAGGATCACACTTTTTAAGAAAATAAAAGTTTTGAGATGGCTTGACTAGGTAATGAAAAAACTTTATTATAAATGTACGATGTCTCGACAAGATTTTGTCAAGGTACCTGAGAATGACAAAATCTTGTCGAAACATCGACCATTTATAATAAAAGTTTTTTCAATAACCAGTCAACCCATCTTAAAACTTTGATATTCCTTGAATTTTTTCTTCTGAGAGTTGAAATACTAAGTAGTATGAAACTTAGTACAAACTTACTAAAAATGTATCTAGTTTTGGTTTTAAAAATCATATAACTTGATTTTGTTTTGAGGAAACATAAAAACACTTCCTTTTATCTTTATAGTTTAAATTTTTCTTTATTGTTGAACAGAAAGTTCAGTTCTAATTATTTGGTCAATTTCAGCTTGAAAGATATTCAGTAACATATTTCTTTTAACACTATATTTATAATTCCTTCTATAAATTAAATTAAAACTGAAGCAAAAACAGACAATGATTTATCAGTAGCCTATGACTTGACATTATATAATGGCATTACCATCATCTTTGTCTCAGTAGTTAACAATATTTTTCTTGAGCAAAAATCCTAAAACAAAATAGCTCATGGATACTATCAAACTGTTTCCAGTTACCATACAAAAAGTTATGATAATCAAGCCTGACAACTATGGGTGATAGATGTTCACACACAAACAAACACAATGGATCATCTTCATAATAAGATTACACAAACTATGGGTACATGGTTTCAAAACTCAAGTTTTTTTTAAATAAAGAGGTTAATTAAAAACATTTAATTTCCACCAAAACTATTTAACTCGGACATGAAACAAATAATGAACAAAATACATTTTAGCTTTTTTGCTTAGTACAACTACTTATTTTCACCCATAAAAATTGTGAACTTTGATCTCTTCTTAAACTTTCAAAATGTACTCAAGTTTAATTCATTAAACTGATTTACTTATATAAATGTTATCAAAACACCTTCAGGTGATGCTGAGTTGTGTATAATCGTCCACATCCTTCATACGGACATTTGAATGCTCTATCTCCCATTGCCAAGGCTCTTGGACTGCTTGTAGAGGGGCTGTTTACAACACCTAATGCCTGCAAAAAATTTTTTTTTAACAATCAAGCATATTCTAAGTCACAAAAAGAACAATTCCTAAGAGCCTGAATGTTTTTCTTGATTTTTCTAGATTAATAAGGACTTCTATGACTTTAATTTTTTTTTTCAAGTAAATGATACACTTGATCTTTATATTTGTTATGATGATGGAAAAAATAGTTCAAAAACTGTATTTAGAAGTAGCAACAAGCAAGGATTTCTCAAATCTCTGGAACAATTCTTAACATTTTAAAATTAGATTTGAGACTTCATAAGAAAAATAAAAGTCAGGAATAATAATTATAGAAATGAAAACTCACCATTTTGGCTTCAATTCCATCTCTAGCTCCTTCACTTACACTGTCCTCTCCAATCTATATGTATCCAAATTGTGATAGAAATAATTAAGATACCAAACTGTAAAACTAAACCTTTTTTATTACATGTGGTGACAGATTTACTGAACACCCCAGAAGATTGTTTTTTTTTATTTGTACTAGTTTAACAGTTGTACAATGTACAATCAAATTTTACTATTTCGCATAAAAGAAGTGATTTCTAATGACAATTAGCCAATTCAAGTAAATGTTTATAAAAGTATAACTATTTCTTTACTTGACTTTTCTCTGTTCTGTAATTATTTATGGAAACAAAATATACCTCTTGAAATCTTTAACAATCATGGCAACATTTCCCCAAATTACTAAACACACAAATAACCTTACAGTACAAGTTTTTTCTAGAAATACTTGAAAAATGAATACTCAAAGTGTATTTTGTTTTTTTACATTTTGTTCTATAAAGTATTTCTATTAGGCAACTTTCTTCCTGTTTTTGGTAACAAGTACCTTTAATTAAATTTTAAAAAATGTATATTAATACTAAATATGACACTTATCCAATTTACATTATGATTACTGAATAATTAATAAATTAGAAAAACGTTTAATGAATTATTTTTATTTAAGGTTAATTTGACTGTTTTGGCTTTCAAATTGTTTTCAGGGCAGTAAACTAAAGATTTTTTTCTTCTATTGAATAACTGAGAAGTCTGTGTTGTATGTCAAACTTATTCTCAGGAGTTTGTTTTGGAACTTTTTTTTATATTGATTTTATTAACAATCTATACAGAATCTTCGCCAGTCACATTTGTAAATTCATTCATCATAATAAAATTCAAATTATTCAACAAAGATTGATTTTATTAAGAGAGACAGATGTGTTGCTAGGTGCTGGCACATAGGGCCTGTGCCCTGAATTCCCAGGTGGTGTCTTGAAAAATCAGAATAGAAAACTATGACTGATATCAAAGTGAAACAATAAAAATTCCCATGCCTACGAGTCTTAACCCCAAATCTTTTAAGCACCTAGTAACACCTCTGAAGAGAAAACTTGACAGAAATGGCGGGGTTAGAACCAGAAAAATTACTTTTAATATTTTGAAGTGTAAAAGATCTTCCTGGGTCACATGACCTTTCCCTTACTTGTTTAAAGCCTTGTTGCAGTAGCTAAATAAAACTTTTCTAATTTTAGATAAAATTCTATAAATTAAATTCAGTCAGTTAGTGCATTCCCTTCACAAAGATTAGCAGTCATTCTCCTCCACTGTTTCAGCTTCATTTAAGTCCATTTTTTAACACTCCTCTACCTGCCCATTTCTCTTGCCATCTATCTTACTGCAGAAAAGATCTTTCTGTACTTTTATTTGAAAATCTGTCCACAATAACTTAATTTCCTCTCCTCATTTTTTAGTTTCTCTGTACAGTTGATTCTCATCATTCTTCTCATGTGCTAGATTTCAAAAGCTTTGAATCTTTTCTTAGAAATGTTATTTATCATCTCTGATACATCAAGAGGGTGACCCTCACATAGCAATTCATAATTCTGATTTATTTGGCAAGTTTATTGAATGCTAATGCAATTTCATACTGATGAAAGTAGATCACGCTATCACGATTCTTCTTATTTCTCTCTGGCACCTTGCATCTTTGATGGTCTTGGGAATATACACAGCAAAGTTCCTATATTTCTTTCAAATTGATTGATATTCTGCATATTCCACTGGTCAAGTCTTTAAGCACACAGGGATGACATCTCCCTTAAACAACATAGCTGAGACTTTACCTAATTGTGCTTGCCAGCCAAAGAGTGGAACTAAAGAGTGACCACTGGTGTGCACTTAAGTTTGTATGGAGTCATAAGAAAGGCTGAATGTTGTGGAGGAATGATTTTGGTCATTATCAAAGAATGATGTGGCTGCCCAGAAATTACAGATACTACTGCTCACAGAAAACCCTATACTGAAATCAGCTAGTCTTTTTAATTTTGTTGCTATTTATATATTCACCCCACCATTTTGTGTCTTAATTAATTATTTTAAGCATCTTCACCTAATACTTAAATTATTTTATAAACTGTTTGGTTATGAAAACATTAGTAAAGTTAAGGGGAATTTGTTAGAGAAAAAGAACCAAGATCATCCATTCCCTAGAATTAATTGGGGCATGCATGAATACTAAGTTTTAATACACCCTAGATACATCACTGGGAGATTGCTGCATCAATTAAAATAATTATTTCACGAGACAGCACAAGGCTTTGAGAGAGACATCCAGTTTTCTTTCACGCCAATGAACAACAGAAAGATATTTCTTTAAAAGAATAGACTTATGTAACATAAAGCATTTCAAAGGAGCTGAGCAATTTGATTATCCATAGGGTATGGATAATCAAAATTATGATTAAATTGATTAATGTCAAAAACATAATCAAAATTATTACTGCAATCAAGATATTGCCATATTAAGGTGGTTGCCTTATGATTAGAGGGTTGATTCTTGTTGCCACCAAATATGCTCGCTTTTTAGTGTTTTTGTTTTTTGTTATGACAAAGCAAATAAGGCTACCAGCCAAAAGCATCCACTGCCACCTAATGGGCCACTTTAGTGCCAAATAAAGAGCAAACTTAGTTTTTTTTCTCATTGTGTCATATTTCTGATTTTTAATTGTGTAATTCTGTTTTTCAGTGTTGAATAAGGTGTAAGTTTACTTTTTCTACATTGTGTATTATATATGCAACATCACACCTATTACTTTTCTGAAGTTTTGACAGGCACTGGCATGTTTCGAACCCACAACTTTTTGATCATAGGGTGAAAGCTCACAAAGCAGTATTCCTTATCCACTCAGCCATGCCAGTCTTTTAACCATCTGATATATGTATATGTGCTAATCAATTTTCAATAAACAATAATGACATCAATAAATGTAGTATTATTACAATTTGCATATAACAGCAATATTCTTGAGTGACAAAACAAAAACACAACATACTTATAAATTTTTCAACACTGTACTTTATATCGTATAGAATAATACTATAAAAACACCTCGTGACTGATTATGTTTAAGTCTCTCAACATGGGCTTGGTCAATTTGACTGACCATGTAACCTCTTTGTACTCATTCAAAGTCCTAATAGATTTGATACTACTAACTTTTAACACCGTATGTATATCTTCACGAAATTTGGCAATCTTTCAGTAAATATTATAAGTCTTTCACATATAAAAAATATTTTTAGTGAAGTATTTTTAATGAACTAAAAATAAATTTTTCCTAGAATATATAAAGTATTTGTTTTGAATAGTCCATGTGAAAAGTGATTTTCACGTAAAGATTAAAAATACTTTCTTCATCTCAAATCACATTTGTGTAATCTCTAAAACCTCCTCAGTACATTTCAAATGTTTGTTTTCAGTAAAACTTTATATTTCATCTGTAATTTTCTCTACCCTAACTCTATACAAGGTTGGTCAATTTGATTGACCTCGTAACCACAAAAAAGATCAAAATACATCTAAATTACCCTCTTTTTCTTTCTAGAATGACTTCAAATGTAGCGTGAAACTACATTCGTTTATCCTAAGTAGCTTTAAACTTGTAACAATATATATGTATTAATAATTAAATCTTATTGTTTTATTGCCCTTTGAACCGTGTCTAACTACTATTCATGCCATTATAAGTTGTAAATCACTTGGGGAACATGCAGCTTATGTTACACTACCGAATTACATTACCCATGAGCTACTCCGAGCTGCTCGTGTGTACCTCATGAAATATTTTTATTATATTACTATTATTGTTTATTTTACCTAATCTAACCTTAACTAACCTAGAGGGGATCCCTTTTTTACATTTTAGTTACTTTTGTAATAATAAATAAGGAATATACATGAAATTTCCCCTAACTGTCAAACTTTTTCTGGCTTTCTAACTATGCAACAAGAGCCATTACAAATTCATCCAAGCTAGTCGTTAACTTTCCCATGGGAATGAACTGTGTATTATAAGTGAAATTGACACTTATCTGTTCAGAACACAATGTTATACAATAAGTCATTTGATAGATGAAAACCTTCACTTTCTATTGGTTATAGGTAATATATAATTAAACATAAGAGAGATCTATTAATAAATTCTGAAAGAGAGGATGTAACAGGTGGGTGTGGCAAAAGGGGTCTGATTTTCTGTTTGATAGCTCCGTAACCAAACAAAATTGAAGGCTATAAAAATTATGGTTTGACTGAGCAATGATGATTTTATAGTGAATAATTTACGTTGAATTTTGTACTTTTTGGAGGGGTGATGGATAAAATAGAGAAGAGAAGATACCTAAAGAAAATGTGTGTCACAATAGGGGAAATCCAGGATTTTTTTAATATTGCCTTATAGAATTAAGCACTTAAAACTTATATACTATTAAAATATGGATTATTAGCTAAGATTTTATTCTATACTAATTGTATAACATAAACAAAAAAGTAGTTTAATAAAATTTTGAATGAAAGACACAAAATCCTCGTGTCATGCGCAGTAAAGGATACCTGTAGAGACTGGGTTAAATAGGCTGCATCTGCAATATAGTCTTCACAGTGTGCAATGATAAACATGTAATAACATAGAGAGGTTTTGAGTCAGAATTTAGCGATTCAAAATAATACATTTTTGGCACACTTCACACTGAAATACTGTTGAGTACAAAATAATGACTAATTCTACAGCCATAATAATTTTATTCTCCTCTACTTCTAACAAGTTAAAGTAACACATACTGTTAAGTTCACTGTCCCTTTGAAGATGCACCTAAATTATAACGTGCTTGATAACCTAGAAGTACTTGTGCACATTCTATTCACCACCACTTGCTTGATTGCTTTGACATAGCTGTTCATATAAAACTATAAACTTGATATCCAGAACTAAGCATATGTAACTTATGTTAACCTGTACCTAAGAGAATCTCAATAGTCACTGTTATGTTTAGTATTTTTCTAACTTATAATCAATTTTATGAAGTAGTTTATTTTGATCATAAAAATTCAGTAGCTTTAGTACTCTTGTTAAAATGTATAAGGAAAAACCTGTAGAACAGTAATAATGTATTTTCAGTTTGTTACAAGTTTTGTACTATGTTGCAATTATTTAGTGTCATTTTCATCTACAACAGTTCAAGATTAAAAAACTAATTTAATCCTAAAGTGTTGTACTTGAAGATGTCTAAACAAAGAATAGTTCAAAAATTATTTAGAAAAAATCCAAAACAAGCTGAAAATAGAAAGATTAGTCTCACGTGAAAATAATCGATTAGTAAATGTAGTCCACTAATGAGTTCAATGATTAATCAATTAGCAAGTTTCAGTTATTGCCCAGCTCTAATTTCAAATCAACAAGTTTGCCTAACAAGAATGTTGGACTGCTACCCAAACTACTTAAGAATAAAGTTATAAATTAAGTGCAATATCTTCCCATATCTCCATTAATAGTAACGTATATTCAACAAATACTGCTTACTTGTCCAACAGCAAAATTTTCCAAGCCTAATCCAGATGCTTCACCATCAAATAGAGGTTCAGCAGTTACTGGAGAAATGTAAGCTGTAGTCCCATCTTCTAGTTGAATAGTCTGAAGACCTTCTAAAACATTAAAAGAAAAACTTTACTAGTAATTCCTCTTAATTTTAAGTATTATTAAGATGATAGCAATAAACAAAACTGATACTTATTGGATATCTTATCTTAAAACAAGAGGAATCAGAGAGATTGCATACCCTCTCCCCTTCATTCCCTTTTCAAGATTGCGTGCATTTATGTTGGTTAATGCCAAATTACATCTACAAAAACTCATAAAATCCTTCTCAGATCCAGAATGATCAGTGCTCCAGATCATTTTTTGTAGTGTAACGAGTCTCAACCTTAATGTCCCCATGAAATTTGGTACAAATCCAATCACACTTTACAGAGTTATTAACCAACAACCATGAAAATATCCCATCATCCCATTATAAAAAATGCTTTAAAGAGATCCAGAATCTATATCTTGTATCCAGACCCAATTTGGGAAAAACTGGTTTGTTTTGTTTTTAATTTTGTGCAAAGCTACACAAGGGCTATCTACACTAGCTGTCCCTAATTTAGCATTAGTCATCACCTCCTACTGCCAACTCTTGGGCTACTTTTTTACCCACAAATACTGGGATTGACCATTACATTATAATACCCCTATGGCTGAAAAAGCAAGCGTGTTTGGTGGGAGAGAGATTTGAACCCGCAACTCTCAGATTGTGAATCAAGCACCCTAACCACCTGGCCATGCTGAGCTTGGGGAAGACTCTCCTCTACTGATTGCCCGCCTCGTGTAAGATTTTCGTGTACTTTGGTCTATCAGTTTTCGAGATACATGCACAGAAACACACATGGATCCAATTGGAATACCCTCACCCCCTCTCTAAGGCTAAATGTTTTGATAAAGCTATTACTATGTCAGAAAATTAGAACTAAAAGATAATAACAAGTCATTGAAAAAACAAATATTTTTCAGTATTACTAACCTCGTGGGGTTGTATGAATAAAGGCCGTAGTCCCATCCTCTAACTGGACTGCCTGACCATCAAAAAATTTTGTGGGAGCTTCAGAGCTATCTGATTCATCTGTTGATGGAAGTGACTGAACAAAAGCTGTTGTACCATCCTCTAACTTCACCGTTCTAGTTTCTAACACTCTAGTTGCTACATCTCTATGATCAACCAATGAAATTCCAGAGTCAGCTAATGCCACACCAGAGATACTTAATGGAGGTGTAGACGTAGTCACAGCAATAACAGGTGAGCCAACTGAACAGTTGATTGCTAAACTGTCACCTTCACTTGGACACACTGATAGAACCCCAGCATGAGGACTGTCATCATTATCTTGAGAATCATCTTGTTGATCCTTAAATAAACAAGTCATTTTTATCAAGGTATTAACTCTTTCAGCACGAGCTCGGTCTCTGGGACCAATCTCGTAACAATTTTGTGCTTGTTATAGCTTTCATGCTATAACTTTTAAATTAGTAAGTGTAAATCTTCACAACATTTTGCATATTATCAGCAAATATTACAGGGCGTTCATATGCAAAATATCAGATTTTTGATATTATGGCTTAAGGTTTTTTAAGTAATGTTTTTCTCATGCATTTTTCTTTTTGCATGTTGCCTATCCAATAAGTACAGTAATTGTCATTTATTTTTATGCATTAGAAAATTTTCTAATTTCCCAAAAGTGAAATATTTATAACCTCTAGATAATTATGAAATGTTTCTTAAGAAAAAACTTTGTATTTAATCTTTTATTTTCACCATCGAATCTCTGTACGGGCTTGGTAGATTTGTCCGATTTTGTAACCACCATAAGAAATTAGGAAATAAATATAAATTATGCTTTTTCTGTTGTAGAATGACTACAAATTATAACTTGAAAACATAAATGTTTAGTCTAAATAGCTTAAATGTCCTAACATTGTGCATTTATATATATTTACTATTTTTATTATGCTGACCTTTCAACCGTGCCTGTCTAGCATCACAGAAGTTACAATGACACGGCGCATGTGCACTAATGTTACCGTATTCAATACTATACAACTGACCTTTAAAACATGACCTGTCTTGACTGTGTTTTAGTGAGCTAGTATTTTGTAAAATACAGTTACATTTTAGTTATAATACATTATTACTATTTACAAATAAGTTCTTGAATTTATTTTTCTTAAAACATAGAAAAGTAAATAAATAAGTATAGCAAACAATTATATCTTCTAGTTACGACCTTTTTACTCATTTGCTGCATGCTGTAGGTTGCTAAGCCTTATAAAATTTCGCACTTGGAGGATGTGAAACTAAATAATTTTTTTTAGGTTTTTTATATATATACATTTGATATAACCAAAAAATCAGAAATTACTATATCAATACCACAGAATTCC